CAGTCCAAAGCCATCAGCCGAGGCTGACCTTTTCGCATGAGAATCATCGACGGCAGCCGATGATGGATGCACTGCCAAAGCCAACTTGATCTGGGCCCAAAAGAGCAGGAAAAGGGGCCCGAGTGCGATGTCAGCTGGAGCTGTCAGTACGTGCAGCTCGTCTTGGGCAATTTAGGTGCGAGGAAAGTTGGTTTTCTTTCTCAATCGACGATTTTTGCAAGCATTAACTTTGTAGTACGTCGAAAATTGCCTGCATACTAAATTACTTGCAAACACCTTTTTTCTTTTCAAAGGTGACGAAGTAATAAGAAAATATCTGATAAGTTATTCCTAAAAAAGTTGTATTTTGTATAAAATTGTACAAACATATTTTTGAAAATCTAATCAAAATCATAACTTATTTGTGGAGATCGTTTGAGTTTTGTCTCTAAAATGACAATGCAATTATTTAAATTGAAAACCATTCCTGCTTTAACGAGAGGCCACTGTACGCACCATTCGACGGATAATTGCGTTCGCCCATCGCAGTTCTACAAAAAAACAAATAAGAAAAGTTGGGAAAAACCAGGCTGGCAGGGAAACTTCTTTCAGTCGTCAATGTTGTCGTTGTTGTCGTTCCATTCCATCGTGGAATTTCACAGCGGAGCATGGAAATTTGTTCGATGGCTTGTCTTTCATCGTCCCTCTGACTCGCTCCTCCATTTTTGTGTTTGTTTGATTTGGATTTGATTTGATTTCCAGGCAAAGCAGTTCTATCACACGGGAAAAAACGACACGAAATCAATACCATTTTTAAAGCCATTTGTAACACCAAAGTGTCTGTTAAACAAGGTACATAAAAAATCGATTTAAGTGGTGCAGCATTTATATGTTATACGTGATTCAAGGACGAATAGGAACATTTACAAATATGTATGGTTATCTAACAAAAAGCTCTTAAGTGTTTTGGGTTAATCAATAAAAGAAGAAGATTAATCCGAGACAAGAACAAGGTGTCAAAGTACTATTTGGACATCTACAAAAAATAAATTCTTTTTTAAAAAGATAATAAATTGAAATTTAAAAAAAATGTTAGGTTAGTCACAAAGAAAAAACATGAGTGGTAATTCTAATTATAAAAAGCACAACAGGAAAGGTAAAAAACTAAATGCGTTTAGGGCTTACGCATTGAATTTAAACTGCATCACTCATACGAACTGTTGCCAAAAATGTAAAAGTGGTCGTATGTATATTTCCGCAGTGTATTCCTTTTACTCCTGCATACCTCACACTCTCCTGCAACGCCCCCTCTCTCTCACCTGCGAGACCTATTCAAATGCTCTCTCACAGTTTCTTGACCTTTCTTCGTGTGACGCAGCCGCCGTCGTATTCGCAGTCGACGTCGCCGTTCGAAATTGTAACTGCACATGCGCGCGCCTTGTTCCTCTGCCGCCTGCGCTCCTCGCTCCGTCCCTTTTCCACCGCCCCCAATTGGCCGTTTGGCAATTTTGCAGCTTTGGCGCGACTCCTTCTGCCCCCAGTTGTTGTTCTTGCGGGAAATGCGATTGACGGTAATTGGTTGACGTTTGTCTTATTTAAATTTGTTTTCTTTGCGATTTTTCTACGTCGCTGCTGCTGCTGATTCTTCTACTGCTGATTCTTCTGCTGCTGATTCTTCTGCAGCGACTACCCCTAATTCTTGCACGCTCCCATGCTTTGATACCCTGTAAAAAATGGATCAAGTCGATCTTAACTCATTGGTTATTTGAGAAATCTTTAGATCTCCATAGATTAAATGTCTATCTATGTATATGATTTTATGTATATATATTTGAATTTTTAAATATTTAGAACTTTATTTTTATTTTAAATTAATTATAAACTTACATAAAACTCAGTTATTTTCACCCAATAACATTTTTATTTATTTTATAAACACATCCCAAATTAAGAAAATATTGCACTTATGTACATCGGATTTAGGCTTTAATTAAATTTGTACTGCCATAGATTCCCGTCACATTTACAGGTCACCAGAAAATCGTTCCCATCGCCGAACTTCCAGTTCTTGTTTCCTTTATGGACTTTTCTCAAGCTGTTTCCCCTCAATCCCCCCTTCCACCAACTTCACTTCCACTTCGTTCTGTGGCGCGCGGCGTGCAACTTTAATTGAAATGAAATGAGTTTCGTCGATTTGTGTTCTAGGAATTTGTTTTTTGATTGTTTTCTTGTAAATTTGAATGATTATCGAGCCAGTTGCAGCAGTTGTTGCAGTTGCAGTTGCAGCATTTGTTGCAGCAGTTGCGCAATTGCTGCAGACGAGCAGGAGAAAAAAAAGAAAACAAAATAAACAAGCCGACGAGCGGAGCGTAATTGCAGATCACATGGATCAAAGACCCTAGGTCTTTATAAATGTACGAGTTTGCAATGTGAGTACAAGGGAAGTTTGCATTTTTCAGCTCCTCCTCCTCTTTTCTTTTTACCATTTTTCTCTACTTTTTCCCTGATCGATAGCCGGGTAATTGAGCTGCGAGAACTTTTAATTGTGTGTTTGTGTCGCGGAAGCGTTTTCAAACTGGGCCAGAATTTCCAAAGCAAAAGCCAATTTGTTACCGCTATATCGCCACGTATCGTTTCCATCGCGATAAAACTGCCGCGCTAAACGCAGCCACTTCCTCAAGTAAATACTGCAACACGTTAAAAAATTCTAGGGGGTATTATTATCCCATGTCGGTTTTACTTTATTGTATTTATATGCTAAAGAAGTAAACATTGATTAAACTTTTTGTGCTAATGCTTTATACTTCCAATATCCGTTGATCCTAACTGACACAATTTTTGCCAAATGTGTGTGTACATTTTAATATCCACTTTTAGTTATTTTTCATATGCTTCGTCAATCATCATCACTATTACAAATTATAACAAATAATTTTTATTGGTAAGTTAGACACTTACTTTTGTAATATCCTTTTTCCGAGTGCACAAGCATAAGAACCGCGGGAAACTGATGGAACCGTCCGAGATTGAAACCGAAACTGATGCGTTGTTTAGGGCGATTTACACACAGTTTAAACAGACGTCCCGATACAAATCGCCAGTTCTACGGAGGGGGTGGAATGGGGGAGGGGAGGGCTGAGAGGATGGCGCGGCATAGAGCAGCTGCAGGTCCAGTCTTCCTGGTGCCATAACTGTAGCAAATGGCCAAGCAACATGCAGGTCTTAGTCTCAATCTCGGTACTTGGTTCCCAACCCGCACCTTAACCTTAACCTCCTGTGGACTCATGATTTTCTTGGTCAATAATTTATCTTATAAAATACCTATAAATATGTTAACATCGGGAGTATAATTACAACAAGTTTTTTAAAAACTTTTTCATTTTTGCTCTAAAGTTTAATGTTCTTATTATACATATTTTATTTACCAAACTAGAAGAACAATACAACTTAAAGAAAAAACATAAAGTTATGCCAATGTTTCGTGTGTTTGCTTTAAAATATTTTTTATAAATAGACAAGTATTTTTATTTTTTGAGTCATAGTTTTTAAATAAATCTGAACAGGAATATAGGGTTAATCTGGGGCTAAGCTTAAACCTGAGCCGCACTCGCAGCTTCAAAGATCTTCGGCGTGGGCGTCTGTGGTGGTTATAAATTGCACATTTGATGAGCAGAGAAACGTTTATGGTTCTCCCTGATCTGCAGGCTCTGCGCGATTCCTTCATTCTGAAGATTCCCCGGAGTCTCCTCTGCCTTTTAGCGCTTGCATGCGGCTGATTAATTGTGCCAACGTCATAAACGTGATGATATCGCAATGCAAGCGCATTTTTCATGTTATTCAATTCATTGCCCCCAGCTCCAACTCAAAAGCTCCAGTTCCTGGCCCAGCTGCAGCTCCACTTTTTACACTGAGAAAAGCTACTTTAATGTTTAACTTATATTTTTGATAATAAATGAATAAAGCTTTTAAGAATTAGTAAAACTATCATAAAGATCAGGAGAACATATTCCAAAACGAAAGCTAATATATTTAGAATTTATTTTAAGCTATTTCACATTGGTATTGTCTTTTAATAAAAACTGTTTTAGTTTACTACTTTCATGATTAATACCTTGTAATATTTCAAATTTTTTACCGTGTACCTACAATGTATTTGCATAGCGCTTTTGTGCGGTATTACAAAAGATTCAAGCAGCAAACTCGCGTGGCAGCCTTTTAATATTGCAACTAATTACCAGCATTAACGCAATTTTGTCTTCATATAGCCTCGGTTCCGCATTGCCCCCTCACCCCCTCACCCCTGCTCCCCGAACTCCCCTGCAATTGGGACTTAATTCGATTCTTTGCCCAATCGCGGACAGGTGTCGATGAGGCAGGTGTTTCGGCTCATTGTTTGCGGCCAGGAAGCATTTGGCATGCGTTCGCCTATTTAAACTGATTTTTTTCTGTTCGCTCTGCGTTTTCCTTTTGTTTTTGAAAAACTGCGCAATTTTCATCGATTTTGGTCAGAGCTGGTTTGTTGTTTCTGCTGTTATTGGCACCTTTTACGGCCTAGTACAGCTGTGCATTTAGACATGTGAGATCACATCAAATATTATAGGGGCTCCGTGGCAGGAATCTATAATTTCTATTGAATTGTGAGGTGATCGAGAATGCGGTTTCTTTAATAAATTACTATTTATTCAAGTCACATTCTTTTTGGGCCTCTAGGAACTGGCATGTAAGTTAATTGAGAGAAAATGGTTATATCTAAAAAAAGAATTGCTTATGGTTTTAATTTTATATATTTTTCTAATACTTACATATTCTTCAGTTCATACCTGTTTGAACTGGTAGAGCATTTTTGCCTGCAATAAATACATAATGGAAATCTCCCCCGTTCAGTGCCCCCTAATTTTTCACCTGCTTAATGGCAATCGCTTATGGCCAGATCAGGTTATTATTGAGTCGATTTCCAGGCCGTTAAGCTTTCGCTGGATAGTTTAGCCGCCCACACTCGAGAATCAAGACAACTTTCAACGTTCGCGATTATTTTGCATATACATTTATTTTTCTGAGACATTTATTTAGACACAAATACAAGTTATATTATAGTTTTACATATATATGTAAACATATACTCCCTATTTATAGGCCATGTAAGCTGGAGAATACAACTAAAATGTACAAACTAAACGACTAAGACAATGCGATTGCGAGCAGATCGTGGGGAAATGGGTTTCGAGAGGCTTTGGGGGGAATTATCCGGCTCCGAGCAAACTAATTACTAAACAAGAGCTGTTCGATTATGGTTCAATTGCATTTAATCAACAGTTTGCACAACATTTAAATTATGAGGAGGAAATTCATTGCTTTAATTTATAAATTCATTTTAGCTAGCTTTAAGTGTTGCATAACATTCTCTAAATGATTGATATATGGTTGTTCGATAATATTGACTTACTATTAGTTACATTTTCCTTTTTGCTATCCTGTTTAAATACAGTACTCTTTAAATATATATAAGTATCTCGTTTATAGACAACTAATTTTTGTGGATTTTAAAGTTCGATTTTGTGAATTTCTTTTCTGAATAGTAAATGGCTTTTCGTCCAATTTGAAAATGGTTCGCAGTAATTATTAAATTAAACATAAAATTAAAATCACAATTTTATAGACTTGATGTATGTATGTGTGTGTATGTTTGTGTATGTGTATATGTGGGGAGGGGGTTCGTCGAGTGTGTGTCTGTGTGTGCTGGCAGCCTTTCATTATCGAGGGATCCATCCGGTCGAAATATTCTCATCAAATACTTCATTGGAATCATTGGGTTTTAAAGCATATTTCTGGGCGTAGCAGGGAAAGGCACAATTCAATGTTAATTAAAATTGCTGCTGCAGGCTAAATGGTGAAAGCTGCAACAGAGAGGAGGGAAAGAGAGGGGTAGAGGAGAACCATTAGTTGGCCGTTTGAAATGTTTGTTTAGTTCGGTTGCACGAATTTAATAAGCGAAAAAACAATCAAAACGCAGCACGATTTGCATGGGCTGTTCAACTCACCTGCAGGAACACACACAGCGTGCCAAAAGTTGTAGTTGCTCTTCTTTTATTGTGTTTTACTTTACGTGGTTTGTTTTTGTTTTGTTGTTTGTTTTTGTCTTTTTCTGTATTGTGGGGGTCGATGGCAGCTAGAAACGAGTTGGCAACGAATCATCATCATCATCATCATCGTGCTGCTACTTCCTCATCGTCGTCGTCATCCTGGAGATACTCTACATCCAGACCATCCAAGCCAGCCAGCCAGCCGAGTATCCTACAGATACAGCGTCGCCTGCTGCCGCTGATCGAAGTGATGGATGTAGAGCTTCTTCTTCGACTTCTCCTTCGAGGGTCGCAGGTCCCAGACCAAGTTCGAAAGACTTCTTGGCCGGGACAGGCGTCGGGTCTTCTTCTCGGGCAGCTTGTTGGAATCCCCCGATGTCCGGCCACCGCTGCGGGATGAGTCCAGTGTGCCCTCCCTCGGATTGTGGTGATTATTGCTGCTGGAGCTCCGACTGTGGGGAAGTGGCAATGGCAGGGGATGCGGACTGGACAGGTAGCCGTGGACGTTCAGGATGCTGCCGCACTTGAGCACCACGTCCGGCGGAGTGCCCGGCGTGACCGGAGTTCCCGATGCCGTTGCTCCCGATCCCGATCCACCGCCACCTGCGGATGACTTGCCGTGGGCTGAGATCGTCGGCGGCGTCACCGAGGAGCAGTTGTTGTTGTCCGGCGTCAGTTGCAGGCTGCTCAGACTCTTGTACCTTTAGGTTAAACAAAGAAATGATTGTTGTATAACAATTTAATCTACTACATTTTAATATGTTTCATTCCTTTAAGGACTAGTTAAGATAAAATTAACATTTAATTCACACTTTATTTTAATGTTTGTATCTATTATACTTGATAATTATAATTAGCTTTTGTTTTGTTGATTATTTTATATTATATTCCCATTTTGAGTCTGTTAATATCAGCCTTTTTTTATTTTATTATCCAAATAAATGTTTCACTGATTGTAAAAGTTTTCCTTAAAAGGTAAATTACATATTACCTTTTTTCGTTAGATGGTTTATATTTAATAAACAAATAATAAATTATCTTTTTAAAGTAGCTGTGACTGCAATTTTAATTTTATGTTTAACTTGTAAGCTAAGTTAGCAGTAGAATTCTTAATCTTTTCATATTATTTCAATTATTTTCTTTTTAATAGGAAGATCAACCAACCTGATGTGGAATAGCGGCGACTGTGGCTCCAAGGCCTCCTTGCTCGGCAGATGATTGTTGGGCGTGAGCACCTTGCCGTGATGCGGATGCGGATGTGGATGCACGTTCGCATGCGGATGGGTGTGCGGATGCGGATGTGATCCGTGCGATCCGTGTGATCCGTGGGTTCCGTTGGAGTGATGGGCAGCTGCCACCGCAGCAGCCGCCGCATTTGCAACCACACTGGCCGTATTTCCATTGGGAGTCGGCGGAGGAGGCGGCTGCTGCGACTGTGACTGCGACTGCGTGTGACTGTGACTGTGGGCGTGGCTGTGACTATGGCTGTGACTGTGACTGTGACTGGTGCCCGTGGAGTTGCCATTGCTGCTGCTCCCAGCACTGTGGGCATTCTTGATGTAAAGCTTTGGTAGAGTGGGACGCTGGCGCTTCTCGGCCGGCTTCTTGCCGGGAATCGTTTCGATCGGCGGCGGCACCGGCTTGATGTCCTCCTGAATATGGCCATGATGGTAGTGGTTAACCAGATGATGGTGGTGGTGATGGTGCTGCTGGTGACCGGGATGATGGCCACCACCACCACCACCGCCGCTGCTGCTGTGCTTATTCGACTCCAAGCTGCTGTAGTTGTTGTTCGCGGAGGTGGAGGCCTGCTGGTGAACCGGAGCCCTGATCAAGCTGCAGTAGTTGCCACTTCCGCTGTCCGTGTGATGGGATCGCAGAGTGGGTGACTCGCAGATGGGCTCGAACCGGGCCAATCCCTTCGAGAGCGGCGTCAATCCCCTCACATAGTCGTATATGTGATCGATCTCGTTGTACTCCTCGGCAATCTCGGTGCTGTTCAGCGCCTGTTGCTGCTGCTTCGACCACGAATCACAGCTGGCACTCTTGCGCAGCACATAGCCACTCTCCGCCAGTCCACTGGCCATTCCTGCTGCCGATGGCAGCATCACCACTGGTAACCTGCCCCCGTTCCGACTATTGAACTTGGAGTCCTTCTTCTCCTTCTCGCTCAGCTTGAGATCGACGATCTGCAGGCGATCGCGTGCATCGGCCAGCAGGCGTTGTGCCTTGTCCAGGAATCGCGAGTACTCGATGAAGTGCTCCAGCTGCTCCATGTTCTTGGCCCGCTGCAGCTTGATCTTCGCGTTCAGCGGCACCGGCACCAGGTCCGTGTCCTTCTGCAGCGGCAGTGCGAAGATCCTGTCGATCTCCACGCAGCCCAGCAGCCGCAACTCGGGAACAAAGGGTTGCTTAAGTCCCTTGGGCGCACTGCCGTGGACGAGTCTGTGAATTGGAGATTATGGATCGGGGTTAGAGAATTATTTCCTAAAGTCTAGTATGTATATATTTTAAACTCGATAAAGTTCTGGTTTAGAAACTCTGAATTTAATGTTATTACAATTAAGTGTTAGATTTAATGTCATTAAGTATGCAAATCAATTGAATTTAATAAGATAAGGTCGGTAATTTTAATAAACAAATTGTTCCATTATTTCTCCAAATATTCTGAAACCCACCTGACGATGACTGGCATCCGCTTGAGCAGCAGATTCTTGACGGTGTGCACACCGCTGATGCTGTCCTCCCTGGCGATGGGAGAGAACTTGGCTTTGGTATCGAGTGGCAGATTGATGATCTCGTCCTTGATGTTGCGGCACTGCAGGTACTTCCCGTTGTCGTTCATCGTGGTGAGCAGCTCTCCTGCGTGGATGGTGCGGTTCATCTGCTGGCATCGAAAGGTTTCCCGCACTAGAACCCTGGCATTCCTCCGCCTCGAGAGCTCCAGTACGGAGTCGATGCATCTCGTGGAGCGTCCGTCCTCGCTGAGGAGCTCGAAGTAGCCGCCGTAGGTCTCCGGGATGAGCACCTTGGCGCCCACATTGGTGGGCTTGCGACCCTCCTTGATCTTGATGGGCTGAGCGAGGATCTGGTACTTCTTGCCGGCGCTCAGGAAGAGGGCGGTGCTCTGCAGGGATGGAGCCGAGAGTGTGGGCACCCCCAGGGCCTGATGCTGGCCCTTGAGGATCTTGGCCACCGCCGGCAGCGGTTGCTTGGAAAAGTCGCGCAGATAAACGGGCGTGGCATCGCCGAAACGGGAGGCGGCCAATATGATTTGGCCATCGGTGGCGGCCATGTCGCGATTGAAGAACGATAGCAGTTTGCTGCGCGCCAGTTGGACATTAAATGAGAGTAAGTTTCATTGGACTGGCTGCGGATGCAGATGCTCCCCGCCGACGGCGCCCTGTTCGCTGTTCTCCTCCTGTTCCACTTGGTTCTCCTGGTGCTGGTTATCCTCCACCAGCGTTTCGTCCTCCTCCTCCTCCTCTCGCTCTTCTGCTCGGTTGGCGTTGATCTGATCCTCAAGAGCTCGTCGCTTGGCCAGCTCCCGGTGGCGCAATCTCAGCAGCTGGGCGCCGCGACTGCAGCAGGCGTGCTTGATGTCCTCCTCGTGGGCGGAGGCTAGTCCCGTCTGGTCAGGATAGAGATCCTGGTTCTGGCCCTGGTACGTCAGCAGTCGCGTGGATGTCTGCAGTGCGTAGTTGAGATACTGCATTCGGTTCGATTTACTCCTCCTCCGCTGGCCACAGTGTGCGAATAGTCAGTCCTCTAACAGTTGGCTTTTCTCCCAGCGATTCTCTGTTTGCCGCTCTGGCTTCGGCTGATGGTAAGCTGCTTTTCCCCGGGTCCTTTGTCCTGGAAAAAGTCATGGAAAATGAGGGGACATTAATCATTGTAATACCACAGTCACAACGGCAAGGATAAATAGTTATGCATGATAAAATGTCAGCTCACAAAATGTCCACAAATGCACAAGGTCCCCCAAAAAAATATTAAAATAAATGTAAGGGAAAAGTGAAATGCACTTATTCATACCCTTTATAAATAAATTTGTTCAATATCAATGATTTAAGTCATTGAAAAACCTTTTTAGCATGGGTACTCACATATTTCCGAACACAATCCCACCATCTATATTTATCCATTAGTAGATGATGGAAATAATCATAGGGAGTAAAGTTAGGTGTCACAAAGATAGCTAATAAATGGGCACACACCTTTGCTACCCAGTGGACATTAGGTAAATGAAATGTTGCCAACAAATTTTCCCCCTTCTGGTTCGAAGTTGAAATATTCTTGCGTCCGCAGATCAGCTCTTCAAGTTCTCACACAGGGATATACATAGGTATATATATAGATGCATATATACAGACTCCGATACAACGACAGGGTGTTATTTATGAGGGCCATAAAGTAAGGAAGAAGACTTTAACTGAAGAAATGGCAAAGTGCACAAAATGAAAATGCAAGCTGCGGGGAACGTGCATATAGAATAGACAGCCGTCTCGACTGTGCGACAATACCAAACATGCCATTAACAAAAAGGGAAGGCGGCGTTCGCGGAGGAGGACATGGCCATGGCCAACAGCCTGCGGACCAACAAATGGCAAGACATTAAAAGTACTTAAAGGATATTTGCATATTTTATGGCCAAACATAAATGAGGCTGATTACGACGAGACGTAGGGAAATGCTAGGTTGTATTGCCTGGATTCTTGGCAGTGATGCCAATTCATATTTTTAGAGATGTTAGGAGATGTTTAAGAGAAATAACTTTAATAAAATATTTCTTAAGAAATTCCATAGTTTGTTCTTTTAATTGATTCAATAATGTAACTCATTGGCTTTATCATTTAAAAAAAGTTATTTTGAAACAATTTTGACTAAAGCCAATTTCTGGTTTTGGCTAAAAACAGCTAAACTCTCAACCATGAAATCTTGTTATGTTGGCCCATTTGCATGTTCTTTGGGGGAATGGAGGATTGATTCCGCATGTGCGGGACCCACTTCACTAAATTAGTTGGCAATTAGCAAAGTGACCGCACCTGCTGGGTTACTGCTGATGCCGATTTTCCCTGCCAATTGGCATCGGGAGGCTATAGCTCCCTCTATGCGGAAGAGCATCCATCTCTAATTGCTTTCCTATTCCAATTGGAGCGCAGCTAGAAGTCGGTAGCCAGAGATACCAAAACAACAACCGCATTTGGGGCCATAAAGAGTCAGCCATAAAGCATTTAACGAGCCCTGGGGGATAAAGTCCAGCCCTTCTGGCCAATTTAAATGCATCTGCGGTCATTATTGGGTCATAGTACAATAACCCGTAACTTTAGTCCGCAAAGGTTATTAAATCTTTTTTAGCCCCTGGCTGAAACATGCAACAGCTTAATTGATTTTTTAGTGCCAAAAAAAGGAGGAACTAGTTTTCCGGTATTATTGAACAAAAGTTTTTGTTTAAACCTTTGAACTTCACAGAAAAATAAATTTGCGGTTTTTTAGGGAATTAAAAATGTGTGTATTAGTTTCTTTTTTGCGAAAATAATTGGTTTTAAAATTTTTATAAATATTACTAGGGATCAAAATTGTAGTTGATAAACCTAAACAACACCGACAAATGTTTCCTGTGTGAGTGTGAAAATGTCAGGCTTACACCTTTGGACTCGCTTTTGTTTAGTGGATCTGCTTTCCAATTAATTGCCAGACAAAGAGCCAGACTGCAACACGGCCGGCAATTAATTTTCACCATGGAAAGTACCTTTTCCTGGAGCAGGAAGAAAAGACACACATACGGACCGAAGGAGACCGACTGCCAGTTGCCAATTCTCACGCTCAACGTGGCCGAAAGCCTTTGTAACTTATGTGGAAACGTGACATTTTCTCGGCTACTGGACAAAAATTGATGCCGCCGAGCCGTCTTAGCGAGCTGGAGAGGATTGGTCCAGCATCAGCAATAGAAGTAGCTGGAGCTGTAGCTGTTTCTGAAGCTAAAGTTGTAGCGTAAAAAGCTGCAGCAACTGTCTTGTTTCCTGGCCCGTACGTGTCTGGATTTTTCTCTGGTTTTTATTGCGGCTTCTGTTGGCTTTTTTGTTGGTTTTGATGTCACACAATGACACAGTTTTTCACGTGCGGAGCGCTCGTAATTTGTATTTGGCCCCGTCTTGCATTTAAGTTGATCTCATCGAAAATGTCTTAATTAATTTGCGCTGGAAAGTGGCACAAAAGCAGCTGCCGCAAGATCCAAAAAAAAGATGTGCAAAAAAGTTGTGAAAAAAACTGTAAGAAACTCACTTAATTTATGACTGACACGACACAAGATGACTTGGCATGAAGCCCTACAAAAGGTTTATGATTTTTTCCTTATATATTTTTTTTCTGCTGAATCCTTTTCAACATCCTGTCTGCCTGTTGCTATTTGTTGTTGCTGTTTCCTGTGCAGCAGCGCGCCAAGAGCCACCGCCCCCAAGGGGCCTCAAAAAAACACTTGAGCAAATGAAGCCCCCAAAGAGTCAATATGTGCGAGCGAGGGGAGTTATTATGCACATACATATGCTTATGAAAAATATGTAACCCAAGACGGAGCTCGAGCACATAATGAGATACCCAGCACACACAAAAAATGGATGAAAAAAACTTAAAAAACGAGAACGAAACGGAAAGCTTTAAGATAAAAGGAGAGGGAATGAGGCAGGATTAAGCGACTGAGTGATACGCTCTTTATGGTTAATTTAAAATTTATTTAAAAATAATATTACCTCAAAAATATATATTTTTTTAATATTTGTGAGAACATATTTCTTTATTTAAAGAAATAAGTTGCTTAGGAACTTTGCTAACAAGGTTTGAGAAATAATATGTAAAATAAAGATCAATAAAATTGTGAAAAATAGTATTATTTTTGTGTTTACCATTCACAAATCTTATTGAACAAAAAGGAATCGGACTTAACAAGTAAGGTCCTTTGTCAATTGTAGCTCTGAAACAAACAGGAATTAAAGTAAATTTAGAGAGTTAAACCCTCCATTCTTGTGCTCGTTAAATTGCGTAAAATAAGTGCACTTTTAAGTTTTAAATGTGGTTGAATCGTTTGTACAACTCGAAAATCCTTTTTGCTACCCTTTCGGCACAAGCTGAAGGCGAAAAAGCAGGCAAGTGCGATAAAAGCCACGTCAAAAGGATTAGGGCAGTGCAGTTGCGAATGTGTGCGAGCGCCTGAAAACGGAAAATGTCTGCGCATGAAGGTGTGGGTGCGGGTGGCTGGCTGGCTTTTGTTTGTCCCAACAAAGGCAAGAACTAGCAGCAAAAAATTGTATAAAAAAAACGCAAGGAGATGGAGTACAGAAAAAGGAAAAGTGTAAGGAGCACGACCTGCTTGTAAACCAAAGAGCTCATAAAAGGAAACGCACACACGCATGCGAGTGTGTGGCACATTAATCACACTAAAGAGTTTTACAAAATGCAACTCGACTCTCTGCCACACAGTCACAGCCACAGCCACAGCCAAAGCCGAAAGTTGTAGTTGCTATTGCTGTTGTCACCACTTTAAGCTGCGGCTTAAAAATCGCGCCCGTTCCGCGCGGCAAGCGGCTTAGAGCTCAGGGCTTAGGCGGCTAAGAATCCGCGTCGTCCGCCAACGCTAACACTTGACGTTCTCCTCTACGCCACAGAGGAACCTCGATAAGTGTAACTTTCCTAGGATCGAATAATTTATTCAGTATTTGCACCACAGGTATTTGAACAGGTATTTAAAAAAGATTGTAAAACATTCCGCCAAAAAAATCCGAAATTATAAGAAGTTATAGATATATATTTTTAATTAAACTTCCTTAAATAAAGTTTTAAATTGTAAATAATAAAGGTGCAATTGAAATTTAACTTTGATATTAATTTTTTTGGTATTGCCTTTAATTAATAAAAATAATTTCAGACATTTCAAGCATTGTATGTATTTTTCTTTGGTTTATACATTTGTATCAAAGTTTGTTGCATTTCATAAGTCTCTGAAGACTACTAACAATTTTGTAAAGATTAACAAATAAATTTCAATATTGCCTAATACCTTCATCGATAAGTTTGGGTTAGGTAAGCTTGACTGTATTTCTCAAACATAAATGCAATATTCCTGGCGAGGAGACGCTTTTTGTGCTTGGATTTTTTTATTTGATTTCATTTCCTCTTTGTCGAGCAGTTTTCAGTGCGAAAGAAACACCTTCAGCCTCACTACTTCCCCCGCTGGCCACTCCCCCTTCGCCCCCTTTTCTCACTCTTCTTCTTCCAGTTCTCAGTTGCCTTATTATGTCGTTCTTAGCACTTTTGATTACTTTTTATCCGCTTTGGCCGCGGGTTTCATAGCTCACAGCATTTTGCTTTTGTTTGCTGTTGCTGGTTTATATATCCTATCCTCCTCCCTTCCTATTTTTCCCCCGAAAACCCCTTCCCCCTATCAGAGCTCCACCTCCCCCTCCCCTCTCCCCTTGTGATGTGACTAATGACGTTGTGGACCACGGACAACGTTTGCGTTTGTTTAGTCCCTATCCAAAACCCCATCCCCACAATAGCCGTGATGTAAATAAATGAAATAATATTCTTTTGCTGTTGTCTCGCCATGAAAAATTAACGCTGACCACTCTTGACTTCTTTTTGTTTTCGTGAATTTTTTTTGGTTTATCTGTTTTTTTTTTGCACGCTTTTGGTTTTCTCACTGCGGACAGTTGGATTTTTGCTTTCATTTGTCAAGTGGCGCTGAATCGTTGTTGAAATACTCTGCAGTAAGAGACTAACACCATTTGTGTACTAAATACTTAATAAGGTAAAAATAAATCTTTTTAAAAGCAGCGCTTGCTCTACATTAGTAAGTTATT